CTGCCTATCCACATCTGTCAGTGGATTTACAAAGAAGAAAAAGAGAAAGGAAAAGGCTTGATCTAGAGACTAAATCAATAGGATTTTCATTTCATTTTCAAACAAGTTCCTGGAAGCCATTGATTGCAATGCCAGCCTTGCAAGACAGATGACCCGAGCCTTGGCAGAAAGGGGGTTCACAAAGAAAGAACAGAGCTATGCAAAGGTCTCCAAAGTCTACCCAAACCCACAAATGTTGCAGCAAGGCAGTGCTTTTCTCAGATGCTTTATCCCCATGGGTAGCTGAGATGTTCAGAGGTGCCGGCACATCCACGCCACAGTTACTTGTTCAGCCTCAAACAGCAATAAACAACCAGGGCTGGGATTTAACGAGTTTCCTGCACATGTACGGTGACCACTAACACACCGCCGAGCCCTTGCACGGGTGGCCTCATTTACTGCAGCAAGCCGATCCAGCTAAACCCAGCATCAATTTTACCTGCCGAAAGGGATTCAGCATCCCAAACACGTTTACATCCCCAGCGGGCAGCCCCACGCCGATCCAAGACGCACAGGCTTTGCTTCCCTGCTGCCAGTCACACACCCCCAGTCTTGCCGCTACCAAACCCACATGGCTCTAATACATCACATCAAACTCGCCGTCATTCCACGGGTGACTAAAGAGCTAGCTCCACGTCAGCTCCTTAATTAGTTGTTTTTAAATATGCCTTAATTTTTTCCAGTGATCTCATGCCTCATTTTCCCCATTTGAGATTAAACGATGGTGTTTTCCTCAAGCTGGCGGTTATCACTCTCGGCTCCAGAGGCTTCCGCTGCAGACCGAGAAGGGCAGAGGCATCCCAGGGCTGTGGGTCAGGGCATCCGATGCAGGGTAGAAGACCTAAAACCACCTCTGGTACCCCCCCCCCCGAGAGCAATTCCCATTCAGTTCTTTGAGGTCTAACCAGGAACTTTTGTACTATCTTTGCATCTTACATGGCCCCAAGGAAATCACGTCTATCCTACAAGCATTCGCGCTGGCTCAGAGACGGGGAAGGGCAAGGATCTGCAAATCCCGCTTGCTCCGGACACCGAGACGGCTAGCAGCCACAGAGACAGTTCACACAGGCAGATACCGCTCAGCCCAAACCGCACACTGTGCCAGCTCTCCGGTGCTCCAAGTGTGGTGCACTGGAGAAACGTATTTAGCTGCTCTCTCTTCTCCTGTACACGAATAACCTGAATTTAGCAGAGAGCAAGTTTTGCTCCCCAGGGCTCAGGAGGGGAGACGTTACTTCATCTCCTTCCTAACTAACCCAGTGCAGGGAAAACTCAGTCTGATTGACAACTACGGAGCTGGAGGCAGACATTGCCTGCATCTTCTACCTGCCCTTGAAGTCATTAATCAAGGAGCTGAGGCTGAGCTCTCCCTTCCTTGCCCTAGGTGTGCAGAGCCACAAAGGATGCTCTGCAGCTCAGCAAACAAGTTGAGATTCACTTTAGGAGAGCTCCTACTCAGGAACTGTCAAGCCCTCCCGTAAGCTGTGGAGGAATTCAAGGGAAAACAAGGAATTAACGTGTCAAATACCCAGATGGTTCCTCAGCAGGCTTTTAGCACAAGGCTGAAGGCTTCCAGCGGGACTAAAACCACTGAGAACTACTCCTGAGCCACATGTTATCTCTCTTCTGGGGAAGCTGCTTTCTGGGGCTCTGCACCAAGGGGAGACACGACAGTAACGGAGCAGACGTTCCTGCTGGAGGGCTGGCTCTTCTTGGATACGCCGTCTCCTAAAATTCCCATATGAGTACTGACAGATCTCACCCCTCAAACAGAACGAGATCCTGCCCCCAGGCTTTTGCATTAGTCTCACAGAGCCACTGAAAGAAAACGATCTGCATAATTACTCTTATTACTGACAGCAATAAAAGCATCTCAATATATAGTGTCTGTCAGCCACACGCAAGCTCAGCGGGGCTTTGCTAATTACTGAAGTTTCCTGTGCTGACAAAGAGATCCCAAGGGACATGGCGACCGATGGGAGAAAAAAAAACCCCAGACATACAGAGGAATTTCAGCACCACAGAACCAATCTCCTGGGCTAGAAGCATGTTGTAGCACCTTGCCTAAGGTCCAGCGGGCACGGCAAGCCCCCGCATACAAGCACAGAATCAGGTCCCAGACCTTGAAGACCACCCATCATCCCGTACTGGGTACTTCTGGGACAGGAGTCTAACGTGAGTCAGGATTTAGGGAGCTCTGAGCAGAGAAGTGATTCCCCTTCCACAATTCCCAGCGTCTCTCCAGCATCTCCTTTACTGGCACGGAGCATCTGCCGTGGATGTTATTGTTTCTGTGGGACTGGTGAGTTTGTTTTGCACCTCCGCCCAGCTCTGGGGACCCGTGACACATCTCCTTAGCCACGTGTCCCTGAGCAAAGCTCATCCTCCCACACCAGGCTTGTGCAGAACCCTTTCCAAACCTGTACGTGCACTTGGCACACAGGCTTCAGAAACTCCTTCCGATACAGTCATCTGTGTCAAGGTGATGATTAGGGATGAGGAGTAGCCCAGAACATCCCAAGTCACCTTCGTTTCAGGATGGGCTGGGATTTTTCAGACACACACACAGGGGAAATGGAAGAGTTTGGATATGTAAAGTGCCAAAGGTCAAGCTTTCATTGTAAATTGTTATGCTCTTAGCAGCAAAGACATCTTACTCACACTCACCTGTACAGTTTGCAGCAACAGGACCACCACCACATACAGTCTAGCCAGGGGACAGTACCTGAACTCCTAACCAGGACGGTCTGAAGGGTGCACAATTTAAAGCCACCAAATGATAGGCAAAGGGAAAATTGCAACTTCTTCACATCAAAGAGCTCTAAGTTTGCTTCAGCAACACTGGGGACAGATTTGACAGCAAACATTAAAGCGATACAACACACACCTGATCGCACCTAACTCACAACAGTGTGGTTCATCAAGAACTACTTCTGAGCAAGTCAACCCAGACACACAGTAAAGCAAGAAAAATGCCTCCCAACACCCTAAACTGCTATTTTGCTCTTAGCGCTTCTGTTTCATAACAACCAGGCTGTTGGTGGCTCTGGAAGAACAACCCGGCTGCTTTTGGTATGCGAGGCACAGGGAGTCTGGCTTAGAGCAGGACAAATTAGCCAGGGTTTGCCAGGCGAGGTTGGGTGATATTGTCCGGTGCTCTGCACTACACCTGCAATAAGCAGCTTTTAAGACTGATTGATTAAATGTTTCGGTTTCACTTTAGCAATTAATCTCAGCAGCCTTTTACTTATTTGTATGCTTCAAAGCTAGAGAGATAATCCCTTAATTATTCCCTTGCTCTCCTTTCTCAAGCCGTGGTTTATTTAAAAATAACCATGGCGTTGTAGTGACAGGCAGGAATGAAATCCTGGGTTCATCTCCCAGGTAGCCGCACGTGTTCCTGGGAGGTTGCCCATCTCCGAGCCAGCATCCATGGCCTATCCATGCAAATATTAACCCTGGAGGATCCAAGTGTTTCAGTAAGAAGAAGATTCAGGATTTCCAAGCAAGCCATCAAGATCCAGGCTCTGATTATTCACTCAGTCTTCTCAGTCACAAAGTATAAACCCTACAGACTCTAGTGTTACTACTGATTTAGCCCAGAGAAAGATCTAGCCCTCTGAATTTTATCCCATAGATTCTCTACACACATACAAATGAAGCGCTTTTTGTGCTCCTCCATCTGAAGTTTCAGTCCTTCTTTCAGGAAAGTGTTATCCAAAGCCACGAGGTTCTCTGAGTGAGCAAAAACCCTTCTCTGAATCTGTCATTAAGCAAAAAATATTAAGCAAAGCTGTGATAACTCATAAGGCTACAAAGAGCACTGAGAAGATATAGGAGCATTTTTATAACCTCTATAAACTCAAGACAACTAAAACGCTCATTGCTGGGCTAAAGCATCACAGCATCACCCAGGTTAGGGCACTGTGCTTCCCAGGAGCAAAGTTCAGGAGCAGGGACAGAACAAACCTCTTCCAGGCCAGAGAAAACACACAAACGCGCTCACGCAACTGAGAAAGCGTGCCGTTCAGCATCACAAGAT